GGGGGAGTTGAAATGGTTCGCGACTGGGAGGTGCAGTTGTTTATTGCGAATCGAGCGTAGGTGTTCTGCAAAGCGGTCCCTGAGTCTCCGCTTGAAGTGGTGGAGCCTGGTACAATTACAACATTTAAAAGGCACCTGGATGGGTATATGAATAGAAAGGGTTTCGAGAGAAATGGACCAAATGCTGGCAAATGGGACTAGAGTAATTTAGGATATCTGGTCGGAATGGACGAGTTGGACCAAAGGGGCTGTTTCCATACTGTACAGCTCTATGACTCTCTAACAGATGGGAGCATTGGCCCAATTGTTATGCAGGAAAGCAGGGCGAGTTTTTAGGTTTGGGAATAGAATGCGGAACCATAGGATTTGCGAGGGTGAAGAGTGCAGCGAGGAAGGTTGCACTGTCCAGAACAGCCTTTCTATCGATTTCAGTTGTCTTCGATGCTTTTAGGAAAATGCATGAAGCAGTGTTAAAGTGAGATAACACAATCCTCCCACAGGGGATCACAGGACCACAATTCAACTGTTTCTAAGACACATTATCCCTTTTGTTGGCTCTCGCAGGCTGTTTATGACCTTGAGGTTTAGTGTTAGAATACCTCTTAAAACAGAAATGAATCATACTATCATACAGCCCTGAAAGAGGCCATTCAGCCCATTGTGTCTGTCTCATCTGTTTGAAATAGCTATCCAATTGGCCACATTCCTCTACTTTCTCCCTAAAGTTCTCCAGTTATTTTTCCTTTTCAACTTGTACCTGCTTTTCCTTGCTTATTTTTATTGGTAGTAAGACTAGTTTATAGTTGCCAAATAAAGACTTCATTAATCATCAGAAATAACTAGAATCCATATAAAACTGGTTTGACTACAGAACGTTACAAATATATTTTAAATATGCACATGTGGGTAATTATATAATGCAAACTATTTGAATTGCTAAAGAGATATGACACCACTTTGGGTAATATAACTTTAATTTTTTTTTCCATTCTGTTGTTACATTTTATGCTGCCTGCGTGTCACGCAGTTCTTTCTTTTAAACTGGGTTTGATGGAGACGTTGTTCTGACTGTTTGCTTGAGTGGAGCCATTCTGTTCCCAGTCAATGGAACACCCGAGTAGATTTTTATAAAGACTGTACCGAGTGTTGTATTGATAACGTGGGCAAGAGCCTGAGCAGCAACTTCTGAAATTGTCATACCAAACAAATCACTGTCTGCATTGATAAAACTAGTTGAATGCTTGTGCGAAATATAAATAAGGTCTTAATGGTGCACAGAAATTTTATGTTATAGGAAGCATATTATTATTAAGCATGAGATGGTTCAGAAGACATTTACCAGGATTTTACTGTGAGTGGAGGGTTTGAGTCATTCAGGGAGGCCAGATAAGCTGGAACTTTTTTCACTGGAGCACAGGAGGTTGAGGGGTGAACTTATAGAGGTTTATAAAATCACGATGGGTATAGATAAGGTGAATGACAGGTATCTTTTCCCTAAATTGGGCGATTTCAAGACTAGGGGGCATCTTTTTCAGGTGAGAGGAGATAAGAATTTAAAAAGGCAATTTATTTACACAGAGAGTGGTTAGCGTGCGGAATGAACTGCAAGAGGACGTGGTGGATGCAGGTACAGTTGCAATGTTTAAAAGACGTTCAGATAAGTACATGAATAAGAAATGTTTGGGGGGAGGTGGGCCAAGCTCAGGCAGGTGGGACTAGTTTAGTTTGGGATTATGTTCAGCATGGACTGGTTGGACCGAAGAGTCTGTTTCCCTGCTGAATGACAATATGATTCTAAATCAAAACAAAGGGCAAAATGCAATGCCTGCCCTGAGGCACGTTTGGAGAGGGGGTATTTATTTGGGCAAGAGGTTGCTAAGTGAGGACTCCACTGGCCTTGAAGAGAGGCTGGTGCAAACTGGGCCGGGTTTCTCCAGAGTTTTGAAGATTGAAAGATGATTTGATTGAAACCTACAAAATACTTTAGGGGATACATAGGGTAAATGCAGCAAGATGTGTCCCCTGGTCTGGAATGAGGAGGCATAATTTAAAAATAAAGGCTGTGCCACTTAGGTCTGAGATGAGGAGAAACATTTTTGTTCAAAGAGTGGGACTTCTCTAGCAGAGAGGGCTGTGAAAGCTCACCTTCGAGTATGTTTAAGGTGGAGATTGATAGATTATTATTATTGTGCAGTGTTACAATGTGGTTGAAAGACATTGAAGTCTTTGATCATATTGAATGGCAGGCTCATTGGGATTAATGGCTTGCACCAGTTCTGATCTCTGCCTGGAATAAGTCAGGGGTTGGATGCTGGGGGATTGCCCTCCACCCTGCGCCACCAGTTGAGGCCTTTAGGTGATGAACCATTGACCATTGAACAGCTTCATCTCCTCTCCCCTGCTGGGATTCACCTCATGGCTGTGGTCCCGTTGCAGAGGTTCACCAAAGAATTCCAGAACCCGTTCTCGCCAACGCGACCGGCAAAGTATGATTCCTGTTAAGTGGAAGGAGTGGATCCGGCACCCTCTTTCATCTACTCCGTAAATCTCCGTGAATCAAATGATGCCGACATTTCACAAGTCCATCTTGTGTCCTTGACTGACGTCGGCCTGCTTCACTGGAATCGGATGTGGGTTTTGTTTTGTATGTGGTCGATGGAGTTGCTTCACGGATGGAGCTGGAGACTCAAGGAATCAATCCAAGTCCTTGCTGAGCAGGTCTGAAGCCCATTAGGACAATTTGAGGCCAGCACTGGAATCAATCAAACTGACTTCATCTCCTCCTGTCACGTGCCAACGAACTACCGGTGGCAAATCATTAAGTAAGCTGTCGAGTCTTTGAAAGCAACAGGTATTTTATATAGCATCTGTCTCCCAATAAGTTGCGAAATTGTTGATCTGTCAGTATAAAGTTTCCCTTCCGGAACGTGCTTGGCTATCGTCTTTACACGGGATGTTAGTTTTTTTTTCTAGGCAAAGTACTGTGGATGCTGGAAATCTGAACCAAAGACAGGGAAAATGCTGGAGGATCTCAACAGGTCTGGCAGCATCTGTGGAGAGAGAAACAGAGTTAATGTTCCCAATCTGGTCAGATCCTGATGCTGAGTTCCTCCAGCAACGTCTGTGTTTGTTTCACTTCCTTCAAGATGGGCTGCAGAGAACCTTATTTTCAACATGGAGAATGTTCCCTGGTCTGGATCATTGTTTGTTACCTGTGACCCCACGCACAGAGCTACAAGCAATTCGAAATTGAGTGGGGCACATGATAAAGTTTCGACGATTTACAACTGTTAACGGTCTGCAAAGTGCCAGAAATTGTATCAATTCTGAGGACAAAGATCAATCACTTCATGATTAGATGCAACCTCACAGGAACTTAAATCTGTTGCTGTCACAGTTCACACCCACCCCAGTAATTTCTGAACACATCCCTGCTAAAATTCCACATGCTAGAATTCCATTACTACATGGTGCAATACAAGTAATTTATGTTGTATCCACACAGGGGCAGTTAGAGATTGGGGCATCAAATTCTGGCCTTTTTAGCACCACCCACATCCCATGAATAAAAATACCTGTCAGTCTGTAGTTTACAGTGTGTCAAATCAATGTCCCACCACACTTTCCCCACGGTTACTTCATTTCATGTGTCATAGAGTCTAAAACTACCAACATCTTCTTTTGTCTAGAACTTTTTTTTCAACTTTTTAACACTTACAAGTTTTCCAAGCTGTGTAGTTTCAGGGTTTCTCAGTAATGAGAATATTAAAGAAAGAATCCAACATTGGGAGTTAATGCTCTGGGAGGTCATTTACAGGGATGCTCCTGCAATCGAGATCTTGGGATTGCTGGCCAATCAGAGGCTAGCTGCTCTAACGCCCAGCAATGCCAACGAGAAAGCTGTGACTGTTTTCAGAAAAATGTACACACCCACACACACCCACACACACACACACAGAAGTACAGAGAGAGAGAAGAGACACACACATACACACACACAGAAATACA